CGATTTCATATTTTTACTTTACCCTATATACCCCTAGTATCCGCAAAACATATTTTTGTACAGTTTCGGCTAGAAAATCTTGGACAGCATTTTTCTGTCATTTACAAAAAAAACCCAATGTAGTCTAAGAGATATTAACAACTTAAAATTGTCGCGTGCCGGTAATTCCCAGATGTTAGAAAGCAGAATAATCCAGGTCCGGACAGGGACCATCGTTACTCACGAACGAAAATGACCATTGTTTTTTGAGTACAACTACCTGCTCAATAAAATTTTATTTTAACCTAAGAATTGTCGTTTACTTCCAAATTGTCAAAACCAACCAGCTCCCTATGTTTAATTTAAAACAAAAATGATAGTAAATATCAACGACTGCTATGAAATTGTACTGTTGGTTGCATTTTGAATTTTTCAGGCGTGGAGCTTCTTGTGCGTAATCCTGTATAGATAATAGCAGTTTTCAATGTAAGAAACAATAATAAAACGAAGGCAAAGTAAAGTGGCTAACCTTGTACGAACTCCGCTTATAGTTACAAGTTTAAAAGGTTGCTATACAATTTTTTATTTTTTTGCAAAAATTTGGATGCCTCGGGGAAAATCTCAAGGTAGATTCATAAACAACAAGTACAGTTGTAAAATTTGAAACCTACTTACGATAAACAATTTTGCAGGAATGCCATCACATTGCAAGTACGGATAATTAGTCAAATTTCCCAAGCTACTGGAACTGAAATTGAAACTACTATTGTTGTCAAATTTTGTATGTATATTAGGACTATCATGTAGATAGTAAAACGCTAACCAAAATTTTTCTAATATTTCGTACCACCAATGGAATGACGTCGTCTCCAAAATTTACAATAGTAAATTTGTTTTTTATTTTATAACAATACACGCCTGGTACATTGACTGTCAGTGCGTATCTTTTAGGCATATTTTCCAAAGTATAGTGTTTGCGTGAAAAATTTAAAAAGTCGACTGTGCGTGATTGATTAGTGGACCTCTCTATTCTGAAAATTTCAGAAAGTTTGGGTTCATAAGTTAATTTTGACTTGTCTTGTCGTTTTCATTTGCTGTCTTCCCCTTTGTTAGAACTTTAAGTGTCTCAAAAAACAATTTTTACAAAACTTCAGATCATTGTGGAGTAATCTCAGGTAATGAACACAGAGGAATGACTATGGTCAGTGTTACAAATAACTTTTTTAGGTTAGGATGGGTTATTCTTTGGAGCAAAACACGTTCATCATCATGCCCTATTACCGTAATGGGGTGTTAAATGAGAATGGGAACTAGATATACTCTGTGGATGCGTGTAAAGACTGGCAGTCAGTGAAGACGTTGTTGAGGATTTAAGAACGAAAATGGAACAAAGTCCGAATAAATCTTTGTCAAAACAATCTTTACAGTCCAAAGTACCATATACCACGTGCCAGAAAATCGTAAAAGAGAAGTTACATATGCATCCATATAATGTTTCGTTGGTTCAGGAGCTGCGACGAGATACAGAGAGCAAATTTTTGATGTGTTTGTGAATCAATTATTGCCTGAAGAATTAGAGTCCGGTTGTTTTCAGCAAGATGTTGCTACAGCTCACACAAGAGAAAATTTAAGATATTTGGAATAATTTTATGGCGACCGATTAATAAGTTTAACAATCAATCCAGAGTGCCCTCCTCGATCTCCTAACTTGGACCCACTTGTTTTTTCATGGATGGATGAAGGACAGCGTTTATAGGGATAGAATCCTCAGATTGGGAGAATTAATGGATAAAATTACACATTTTTGTAATGAAAATCTTAATGAAGAAGTGTTGCAAGACATTTTTGAAAATAAAAAAAGAAGATTGGCTTTGTGTTTGAGGGAAATTTTACATTTTATTACATTTGTGCTAAAACGAACAATTGAAACATTAAAAAAACTTAAAATCGAGAAACTTAAAATCGGAAAAATTAATGAATCGAAAAATTGGAAACAGGAAAAAACGAATCGAATTGAAAAATTGGAAAAGCCAAAAATTGTAAAATCAAAAAATCGTCAAAACTGTAACGTCGAAAAACTATAACACTGAAAGGTCGAAAATTGAAAAATTGGAAATCTAGAAATTCAAAAATTAAAAATCGAAAAATTAAAAAATCTGAAAGTTTTGATTTCCAATTTTTAGATTAATAAAAGTGCTAATTTTTTTTTCGCTTATTCATTCAAAATATTGAAAAGTCGAAAAATTAAAAAGCAGAAAAAAATTAATCAATAGAAAAATTATAGAAACGACAAAATAGTAAAGTCGGAAAACTAACACTGAAAGATAGAAAAATTGAAAAATCAAATATCGAGAAATTCAAAAATTCAGAACCGAAAAATTGAAAAATCGAATAAATGAAAAAGTTTAAAAATCCAATCATGAAAAAATGGAAAAACTTATAATTAGAATTAGTTATTACATATTTAAAATAAAAGTAGAAAAATTGCAATCAAAAATTGAAGAAATGAAAAATGAAAAATTCGAACAAGTGTTAAATCTAAAAGTTCAAAAACAAAAAAATTGGAAAGCAGAAATTTGCAAAATCCATGAATCGAAAATTTTCACATCGAAACAAAGAAAATATTAAAAAACCGAGAAATTCAAAAACCTAAAAGTTGAAAAATCAAAAACTGTAAAAACGAGAATTGCAATATCGCACAAGTGGTAACCCAAAATTGCAAGAACTGAAGAAACGAAAAATTGAACAATGAAAAATTAAAAGTGTGTGTAGGTACTGCAATAAATTTTCTTATCTTCAGTAACTCTCATGTTTCTTTCTGTGGTAATTGCATTCTCTTATTTTAACACTTACTTCAACTTAGTGTTTAGTAATAATTGTAACTTTACTATTAGGAAGGTTACAAATCTTTATTAAACATTCTGTTATTTCAAGAGGTCTCGTAATCATCCACAGAACTCTTAACACTATGCTCCTGAAATTTTATTGTTTTTTTTCATCTTTTTTATTACAGAAATTTTGAAAAACCTTGATGTTAAGATGGCCATGTGAGCGTGTTTTAAGTGGAATTTCTTTGACATTCTTGTTACACAGATCTGGCATGTTTCAGATATCTACAAACTGATAAGCTGAAGGTAATGCTTGGACATGGCAATTATCACCTATTGTAGGGACGAAGATCAAGGCTTTCAGTTGTTTTTCAAGAGAAAAGCACCGCTTACAAACCACGTCTGCACAATGTTTTGACGATTCCTTACAATTTACAAACTGAACTTTTGCGGGATCACACTTTGGCAAAATTATTTAATGCAAAAACTACTCATTGCCATTTTAAAACAGTGGAATTGCTCTTTAATTGTGATAAGACTTGCTCTGCTATTGTCCATTACGTGATTTTTCACAATTTTTACCTTCAGAGTACTTACAAAAATGTAATTTTTTAATTAATTACCGTGTTCATTGGTTTCGACAAATTTAACCTCACTTTTTGGATTTCATTATTTGAAAAATTATTGTTTCTTTGCAAAACAGCCCAGATGACTTATTCTATTCAATTCTAATCGACTTTCCAAGGTGTAATTCATGACAAAACCCTTAATCGCTTTTCTGATAATTTACAATTCTTGAAGGTCAAATATATTGCAGTAGCGTTCACAGATGCTCGATAACACTGCAACCCCTAATGCTCTGGCGTATTTTCGTGTCTATTTAAAATGAAATTAAACCACAAACCTGGCATTTCAGTTTTTGACACATTTGACAGGTTTGTTTTGAAGTTCGTGACATTTCAAAAGAGTTCAAATCATTTTGGTGATTAGCGGCACGAGAAAAGTTTCAGTTGTTTTTCATAGGTGAGTTGACTACAGTATTTTATGATTACCTGTAGAACATTAGTCACAACAATATAAATTTCTAAAAATTAGATGGGTCCTTTTTGTCTAACAACACTCTATATGTGTGTCTGTAAAAATAAGCAGATAAAATTTCATCAATCACACAAGTGATCACAAAAACAAACATAGCGTTTTACTAAAATATCAAAAGGCAAACCCTAGGGCAAATTATAACATTTTATGTTGCAAATTTGAAGAGGGATTCATTTAACAAAATTTTAAGATGAGGTCTGGCGTTATCTACTATTTCATTAAAAAAAAAAACTGGACAAAAAAGCGTGACTTGAACGTCTTATTCTCATTGCTTTTCATTGATCTATGGGAACCTGATTTACTCATCTTGTCAAGTTTTTTTTTTATATAATAGTATATGATAATCTTAAAGTACACAAAAAATTTCACAGTAAACTGTCTAGGAGTTTCAAATAAATTGTCATAAAATTTAACACATGTACAACAAGTGACAATACTTGCAATACTTTTTTGGTCTATGTTCAAGAAAAACGAATTTTAGGTACATTATAACTTACAACAAATCTTGCATTGTACACTACATACATTAGAAAAAATACTATAAACAAAATATCTTTAAATATTTAATTATTTATAGTGCTTCAGAAGCGAGAGTAGTTTTATGTAAAGAACTTTATTTTGTTACTGTCTTCTGCTAAATTCCTGTTATGAAAAAAATCCACCATCACAAACTTAGAGCAGATGTTACATCAAGTGGGAATAACTTACAAATGACTATAGCATCGTTGCTAAGTAAACATACCTTCCTCTTCGACCATAGAAATTTTCACTAGAACATCTGTCTAAACAGACAGAACAATACATTTGTAAGAATCAAAATAAACCAAGAAAAATCGAAAACAAACACCACTGATAAAGTTTACATTTACATCTTGGGGTTAGAAATTAAATTCAGTTCCTTAGTTCAATTAACTAAATGTTATCTCCTCTGTGTAAACTAGAATAACTTTTACTACACCTATGTAAGTGATATTTTTTACCATTACACAACATTCATCTTCGCCAAAAACAACAACTGCAAGAATCCACATCAACTCTTATTAATAGCTCTCACATCGAATCATTGTATAAAAACCTAACCCTAAAACTACTCACGATTTCTCACATGCATCCCGTCGTCCCTGCTACAGCTCGCCCGCCTCGGTCTCACAGTCAGTTTTGCCACTCTGTCCGTTACGCCTTCTGCAGCCCCCACGGCCTGCAACGAATCCAAACTGCTTGCCCTCTCGGTCTGCGTGGCTCTATCCCGATGCCAGAACAGACTCTCCCTCGGGAACAGCCCTCTCAGGTAAATCGCATCCAGGGACGCCGTCCTGCGAATCAGCCCCTTGGGCGCCCTGGGACTCCCGGCACCTGCAACCGGCACGGTCTCAATCATTGTACAAACTGCATGTGTAGATAACTTTTTTCTAGCACATGTAAAACAACAACAAGAAAAGCGCTTTTTGCGTACCTCTGAAGGGGGCTCCCGGGCTGCGCAGGCCGCTGCCTTGCTTCGTAACGCACGAAAGAGGGACGGTGGCCCTTAGAGGGGAGGTCTTGGAGCGGGGGGCTCCCGACATCGCGTCTTTCAGATCGTAGCAGGCGATCACGTCGACATTTGCGCTTCTGACAGTTGGTTAAACTGTGGACTGGCTTTTTGATGGATTCCTGTTGCGGTTCATTGTTGGATGGAGCACTATTTGGAGCTTTTTGTCTGCTGGAGTGCAGCTGCGCAGACGTCGTACAAGTATTTGGGGAGGAAAAGAAGGTTGCGAGATTTGACGTTTCACTCGGGAGGTTGATGGAAATGTCAAACTCAGCTGATTAAGTGCTAAGGTTCTGAATGGATGGGGAATACTCACTTCACTATCAAGTACAGTCTAGGAGAGGAGAAAGATTGTGATTGGTTCGGAAGAATTCTGAATTCATCACAAGCGTGCTAACGGGAGTACAGTCATGGGAAGAAAAACGGGACAGGGTCGGAGTGGCCCAAGTTTATTGAACAGACTATTTTTGGTTTGAAAGCAGAAAGGCAGCCCCGTAGCTAGAAAACTTATTCAGGGGGGGCAAGTTTGTCGACAGAGGGGGCTTCATGTAAATATTTATATTTTAATAATACACTCAGATAACTACTTTATTTTTTCTGAGTTTTTATATTTGAAAGAACATTAAAGTAATTGGAAACGTCGATTTTTTACGCTAAATTTTCGTAAAAACCTGTCGAAGTCCAAAAAATTATTACGGTACTTGGTTAAAATGCTGGTTAAAACAGAGAATGTAGATTCACAAACAGCTGTACTGCATCCAAAAATTTGTGTAGTGGCCATATAGGTAACATCCAACTTGTTTGAGTTTATTTTTTTGCATGTTTAGTACATATTTTAAAAATCCGACTTCGAAACCAAATATTTCGAAAATTTTGGTACGGAACCATGAACTCGTCATGTTTTTTTAAACTCGTCAAGATGTGTATTTCAGAATTTTTTGTCAACTTTAACAAAAGCTCAATTTTTGGAAACCCATATAAAATTTTTGACTTTTCCCAAGCATTTTCGAAAATGACCAAAAGAATTCCTTTGTTCATCTCGATTTCTTCCAAAAATCGTTTTGGATTCAATTTTTTTGAAAATTCTTACATTTTTTGCAGAATCGACGGAAGAAAAATGGCAATTTTTGAGAACCTGTATCAAATTTTTGACTTTTTTCAAGCACGTTCGAAATTACCAAAAGGGATTCCTTTATTGATTTCGATCTCCAGATGTTGTTTTTGGTTGTTTTTTCGAAAATTCGTACAATTTTTCCATAATCGCCAAAAGAAATATGGTAATTTTTGAGAAATTTTGAAAATTCCAGCTCGAAACCGAGTATTTCGAAAATTTTGATCCGGAACCTTGAACCTGTCATGTTTTTTTAAGCTCGTCCAAATCTATATTTCAGAATTTTTTGTCAACTTTTACGAAAGTTCAATTTTTGAAAACCCATATAAAATTTTTGGCTTTTCCCAAGCATTTTCGAAAATTACCAAAAGAGATTCCTTTGTTCATCTCGATTTCCAGAAATCGTTTTGGATTCAATTTTTTTGAAAATTCTTACAATTTTTCCAGAATCGACACAAGAAATATGGCAATTTTTGAGAACCTGTGTCAAATTTTTGACTTTTTTTCAAGCACGTTCGAGATTACCAAAAGGGATTCCTTTATTGATTTCGATCTCCAGATGTTGTTTTTGGTTATTTTTTCGAAAATTCGTACAATTTTTCCACAATCGCCAAAAGAAATATGGTAATGTTTGAGAAATTTTGAAAATTCGAGCTCGAAACCGAGTATTTCGAAAATTTTGATCCGGAACCATGAACCTGTCATGTTTTTTTAAGCTCGTCCAAATCTATATTTCAGAATTTTTTGTCAACTTTTACGAAAGTTCAATTTTTGAAAACCCATATAAAATTTTTGACTTTTCCCAAGCATTTTCAAAAATTATCAAAAGAGACTCCTTTGTTCATCTCGATTTCCAAAAATCGTTTTGGATTCAATTTTTTTGAAAATTCTTAAAATTTTTTCAGAATCGACGGAAGAAATATGGCAATTTTTGAGAACCTGTATCAAATTTTTGACTTTTTTCAAGCACGTTCGAGATTACCAAAAGGGATTCCTTTATTGATTTCGATCTCCAGATGTTGTTTTTGGTTTTATTTGGTTGAAAAGTCGTAAAATTTTTCAGCAATCGCCAAACGAAATGTAATTTTTGAACTTTGAAACCGAATGTTTCGAAAATCTTGATCTGGGACCATCTAGACCTTGTGTTTTTTGATTGAGCTCGTCGAGATCAACATTTCAGATTTTTTTGTGGATTTTTAGTCAACTTCAACAAAAGCTAAACTTTTGAAAATCTATAAAATGTTTTTGACTTTTCCCAATCGTTTTCGAAAATTAGCAAAAGGGATCTCTATCGATTTCGATCTCCAAATGTTGTTTTGGTTTTATTTTCTCGAAAATTTGTACAATTTTTCCAAAGCCGCCAAAAGAAATGTAATTTTTGAGAAATTTTGAAATGTCGGCTTTGAAACCGAATTTTTCGAAAATCTTGGTCTGGGACCATCAAGACCTTATGTTTTTGGATTAAGCTCATCGAGATCTACATCTCGGAACTTTTTGTTGATTTTTTTGTTAATTTCAACAAAAGCTCAATTTTTGAAAATCCATATACATTTTTTGACTTTTCCCAAGCATCTTCGAAAATTAGCAAAAGGGATCTCTTTATTGATTTCGATCTACAGATGTTATTTTTGGTTTTATTTTTTTGATATTTCGTCGAATTTTTCCACAATCGCATAAAGAAATAACTTTTTTTTAAGTCACTTTTGAGATTTTTTAGAAATTTTAGGTAGAAACCCAATATTTCGTAAATTTTGCTCCGGGAGCATGAACATGTTTTTCGATTAAGCTCATCGAGATCTATATTTCAGAATTTTTTGTCAACTCTAACAAAAGCTCAATTTTTTAAAACTAAATAAATTTTGATTTTTCTTAAGCATTTCCAAAAATTACCAAAAGTCATTCTTTTATTTATTTCAATCTTCAGATGTTGTTTTTGGTTTTATTTGTTCGAAAATTTGTAAAATTTTTCTAGAATCGTCAAAAGAAATAGGAGTATAATTTTTGAGAAATTTTAAAAAGTCGACTTGGAAACCGAATAGCAGCAAGACCTTATGTTTTTTGACTAAACTCGTCGAGATATACATCTCAGAATTTTTTGTAGATTTTCAGCCAATTTCAACAAAAGCTCAATTTTTGAAAATCTATAAAAAAATTTGACTTTTCCCACGCATTTTCGAAAACTAGCAGAAGGGATCTTTTTATTGATTTCGATCTCCAAATGTTTTTTTTTTTGGTTTTATTTTTTCGAAAATTCGTACAATTTTTCCAGAGCCGCCAAAAGAAATGTAATTTTTGAGAAATTTTGAAATGTCGACTTTGGAACCGAATTTTTAAAAAATCTTGGTCTGGGACCATCAAGACCTTATGTTTTTTGATTAAGCACATTGAGATCTACATCTCAGAATTTTTGTCGATTTTTTGTCCATTTCAATAAAAGCTCAATTTTTAGAAAATCCATATAATATTTTTGACTTTTCTCAAGTACATAGTAGGCTATGGAATAAAATGTCACATGTTCATTTTTTTTATACGGTCAACATCAACGGTAGTGTGATATTGCCAAATAATATACCCTGTAAGAAAATAAAGGTGGGGCGGGTGGGGCCAGTTAATATGCTTCGGCAATCGGCATTATATTGAAATTTTATTACTAATTTGAAATTTATAATGTATAAGTCTTCCAGGGGGGGGCAACCACAACTGCTAGGGGGGGCTCAGCCCCCTCTTGCCCCCCCGTAGCCACGGGGCTGCAGAAAGGTGACGTGGAGACAATTAAATTTGTAAGTTACACTGGGGAAAGAAAAGTGTCCTATTTTATTTTGGCCGCCACTGTAAATAGAAACGGAAGACCTACCTTTTCTAGGAGAGAAAACATAAAATGCGAAATTTCCTGCTCAAGATTTTTTAAGTTTCTGAAAAGGAATTTCAGTGCTAAAAATTTAAATAATGTAAAACTGCAGTTCTGCTATTTATAAAAAAATAACCTTCCTTTCTTCGATTTTTATAAAAAAAATAGTGTGAGGTTATTTAGATAGAATTCTCTCGCCCCTTAAATATAATCGAACAATTCCAATTTTTTGAAAGAATTATGAAATTTGGTTTATTTTATGATAATCTCTATACCTATCAGTAAAAGAATTATAGATAATACAAGTTACAGTGTAAAAAAATTAAATTCGGTAAGGATATCATTCGAACCCACACAGGGCAGAGCATCAATCTGAGAATAAATCATATATCCATGGAGGTAAAACGACAGGAGGGAGTATGCCTCATTGAAGCAATGTTAAAGAAATGGCGTCAAAACAGCTCCACGCAAGAACCATCTACTCAGTTTTATTTATATTATTTATATCGGGAGCGGTCGGTCAACAACACAGGACCAGAGGCGGTGCCTCTTGGTTTATACTATTTGCTTAATTATGCTATAAAAAGAAAACTATTTTTAGCAACGTAAAAATTTAAGACAATTTTACTGCTACTGCTTTTATATTGAATTTTTCGATTTGAAATTCTTCAATTTTGCAATTTTGCAACATTACAGTTTTTCATTTTATCGATTTTTCAGTTTCTCAATTTTTAAACTGCAATTGAATAATTAAAAACTGAAAAATAGAAAAATCTAAAAATCGAGAGAGCCAAAAATTGAAAAAATCAACAATTTAAATTTTCGAATCAAAAAATGAAAAACTTCAAAACTGTGAAATTAAAAAATCAAAACAAAAACGAAAAAACATAAGACGAAAACTTTGGAAAATCTGAAAATTGGAAATAGACAACTTGAATCGAGAATTTGACATGAAAAACTGAAAAATCGAAAAAATTGAGAAACAAAAATTTTAAAACTCATCAAATTGCAAATCGAAAAATTGCAAAATTGAAAAATAAGTAACAAGAAAAATGAAAAATTGGAAGAGCACAATGAAAAATTAAAGAAACGTGGAATTGATAAAATTAATTAATCATCCATATAAATTTTGATCACGATCGGCCCGGTGGTTTCAAAGATTATGTGTCTAACAAAAATCGACACACAGACGATAGACAGACAGATCGAAACGAGAGACCTATTTTTTCGTACTCTAGGGGTCATGAAGCGTTGAGAAAACATGAAAGTAGTCAGTCGTTTGGTGGACCCAATTATTATACTGCCTTATTAGACTCGGG